ATGCTCATTCCTTCTACTCTTTAGATGAATACTTCAATGTAAATAGAGAATGATGTAAAATTAAGTTATATTAATTTTTAAGCTAAAATTGCCTGTACTTATGTATGTAACATTTTGACTTGTTCTGTATCCAAAGGTACTAACCTGCTTAGGATTTATAGAATGTAAATAAATTCAATTCATTTCAATTCAATTAAAAAAACTGTGGATGAGCTCTTGGATGACAAAGATAGATGAAGAGGCTTGGTTGTTAGACAATGCACATAAAAGTGCAAATGCTGAAGGAAAAGAACAAACAGAAGACGAGAAGCAGGGGAGGAAAAGAGGAAGAGGAAGAAGAAGGGATAAGGAAAATGGGACAACTGCTATCTTCCACTACCATAAGAACCTCATATCTCAGAGTAACTAACTTCATGGAGGTGAGCCTTTCTTGAGAAGCTACCATCTGTACAGCTATTTAAGAACTTCTCAGCATTTTACTGAGCCTGAAGGTTCATTACCGTGTTCACAAGAGTCCTCCACTGTTTCCTATCCTCAGCCAGATCAAACCAATCCATACCATCCCATTCTATCTCTCTAAGAATCATTTCAATGTTTTTCACCCACCTATGTCTTGGTCTTCCTGGTGATTTCTTTCCTTCTGGCTTTCCCACCAATATCTTAATTCATTCTTCTTCTCCCCATTCATGCTACATGCGCCACCCATCTCATCATAATTGACTTGATCATACTTGATTATACTTGGCAAAAAGTACAAGTCATGAAGATCCTCATTATGCAGTTTTCTCCAACCTCCTGTCACTTCATCTCTCTTCGGTCCAAATATTCTCAACACCCCGTTCTCAAACACCCTCAGTCTTTGTCCTTCTCTTCATGTCAGAGACCAAGTTTCACACCCATACAGAACCATAGGCAAAATTATAGTTCTGTATATTCTATATTTTACATTTTTAAACGGCAGATGAGATGACAAAAGTTTATTTAATGAGATGCAAAGAAGATTGATTCCCTGAATGTCTGCTACATGCAAGTATCGTTACATAAAACTATAGGAATATTCTTACCCTTCCCTCCACCCTCTTCCTCACTGTCAAGCAACTGAATCTCTTCCTCTTCTTCCAGTGGAACTAAGGACATGGAATCCAATGTAGTAGCTACAGATGAGGCATCATCCTCAGAACCTCGGACTCTCCTCTCGTCTTTATGCCTGAAACACAATTTGAGAGCAATAAAACCAGACTAAGGTTTACTTCAATGTCATGCTGGAACTTGTGCTGTTGTTTATTTTTAATATTTAATATTTCTGTAATATATTTAACATTTATATCACCTAATATATCTTGGTACATATTTCATTTTTATATGTTTTATCTTTTATCTTATTTTAACCGTAACACTTATCAGCTTGAGGCAAAAATTTTATCTGTTATTATATAATATGATATGTTGCACTGATATGGATCCGTATCAGTTCAATAACTATACTTATTCCTATATATAACTGCCTGATAATGGTCTTGTACAGCCAAAACATGTAGTAGGAATAAAAAGCCTATTGTAAAACATTAAAAACGAGAATATTTGTTGTGTGACAGTTAACCTGACCGCCTCCGTTGTCTAGTGGTCAGAGTTCCTGGCTACAGGTCCAGAGGTCCGGGTTCGATTCCCGGCACTACCAGATTTTTCTGAGAAGTTGTGGGTCTGGAACAGGGTCCACTCAGCCTCATGATGATAACTGAGGAGCTATTTCAAGGAAACAGCGGCTCCGGTCTAGAAAACCGAAATTAACGACTGTGGGAATTCGTTGCGCTGACCACGTGACACCCTCTATCTGCAAAAGTTGGCACTAACTTCGCCGACAAGCGGCAGTCACTCGGTTGGTATAGTTTGCTTGCGGACTAAAATCACACAGTTTGTTTGTTTGTTTGTTTGTTTGTTTGTTTGCGTGACAGTTAACCTAACTCCTATATGTATTACAGTAAAGCACTGTTGTTGAAGCAGACAGCAGGCAGGTTCATGTCCACTGGCCACTGTGAAGCTCTCGTCATATCTGAATTGAGAAGCCTAATAATGGCAGCTTCAATTCTACAGTTCCAAGCTAAAACTCTTAATAATTTGAAAACCACTGCTACAACTATAAACTTATGAATTTATATCATACACCATTATCAAGAAAATGAACCATAGCATTTTTTATTAAATAAAATTATACAAGCAAAATAAATTTTATAATATGTGAATAATTATTCTGTATAATTACATATAAGATTTCAGACAGCCCTTACTAAATGAAGTCATATATTACCTGTATGTTTTTACATATGTTTTATTCATATAACTTATCTTTGAGACCTGGTACAATAGCCCAGAGGTGGCCGCAGTACAAGGGACTTAGTCCCAACCCACTAGCAATAAAAAAAAATATTTTTGAGATATTAACCAATAAACAACAAATGCAATTTCATGGATGTGTGTGTATAAAACATTCCTATTTCTTTACACCAATAACAAAAATTCCAATAATGTATTTATACTAGTGAAAGGACCACTAAAATTTAAACATTAATCTCCAGCAATTCCAGTCACTAGCCATCATTTCCCCACACAACTCTTCTCCTGATACACTCTTACACAGAACAGCCCTTAAGGGACATTCTGATCAGCTTGGTAGAACACATAAAAATAACAACAGCACATAAAAACCTTCTTTGGTAAAGGCCAGCATTGTAATACTGACTGAAACAGTGCCATTTCTAGTCCCAGGCACAGTTGACAGAGGTTTCTTTTGTACGTAGGGCAGTCAAAAAGTTCCTGGAATTCCCCTGCGTACGGAGAACGAGCGATAAGATAGTGCACACAATGTTGTGGTGGGAAGCTTAGCATGTCTGCTTGCAGGCGCAACAGGTCTGGACAGGTTTCAGTGTGCTGTGTCGTTACTGTTCCGTTTGAATTAAACGTGTGTTGGTCATGCGGCGCAATGTCGCAGTTCGAAAAATGTGCGAACATCAAGTTCATGTGCAAATTGGGACAGTCTGCTTTAGAGATGCTATCGGGCCTGCAGCAAGTTTACGGTGATACAGCACTAAAGAAATCTGCAGTTTACCACTGGTTTTCCTGGTTTAAGAATGGAGAGGAGTCGTTAGAGGATGACCAGTGCAGCGGGAGACCTTCGACATCCAGAACCAAAGAAATGATTGGAAAAGTGCGACAACTGATTCGATGTAATCAAAGAATGACCATTGTGGAGTTGAAGCTAGAAGTTGGTACTGTTACTGGCCATTTCTATGTGCAAGTTTTGTGGAGGTTGTGCGATGCACTTCGGAGGAAGCAGCGCTACAAGTGGCAGGGACAGTGGTTTCTGCATCACGATTACGCACCGAGCCACACATCACTTGTTGTGCAGCAATTCCTTGCCAAGAAAAACATTCCTGTCATCACTCAACCCTTGTACTCTCCGGATCTCACTCCAGCTGTTCCCTACTTTGAAAATGGGCTTCAAGGGGACAGGTTTCTCAACCATGGAGGACATCAAATCGAATGCGACGGCTGAGCCTTCCACCGCTGCTCCCGACAATGGTAGGATCAATGAAGCAAGTGTGTGCATGCGCAAGGGTCCTACTTTTAAGGCAATTAGGTAAGCGTTGCCGCATGTCCTACCATTAGAGTGCTATACCACCATTGCAGGAACTTATTGCCTGCCCCTCGTATATGGCTTCCATGTGAACAACATAAACAAAAAACAATTCCCTGCTCAATTTAATTATATAGAGCTCACCTGAAGATGGAACTGTCATCAAGTTTAAACAGGAAGCTGAAGCCCATGATAAGGTGACATGGCGGCAGGTAATTCTTCTTGCCACGGACCATGAAGCTGCCTGTTGTCAGGTACTCTCCAGTAGGGGCAGTCTTCGACACCTGATCACTCTCCACCCACCAGGCATTTGTAACAACTTTTGCATCCCACGCAACACTAAAAATCATAACAACCCTCATCATACCCATTTCCTGGGTGTCCACCACGCACCTGGATTCATTAGTTCCCCCCGAGCAAGTTGGAGTAGCACTAATGCTCTAGGCTCACATCCCACAAGTGCTCATTTTGGGAACCGAACCCAGATTATTCAGCCACCCAACCAGCCAGAGCCATCTCAGCTCCTTAGTACTTGTACACCAATAAGCATGGATGAGGTGGGCAGGGAATGTAGCATGAATGGGGGAGAGGAGAAATGCATATAGGATATTGGTGGGAAAGCCAGAAGGAAGGAGACCACTGGGAAGACCAAGGCATAGGTGGGCGGACAATATTAAAATGGATCTCAGAGAGATATGATGGGATGGCATGGATTGGATTGATCTAGCACAGGATAGGGACCGCTGGAGGGCTCTTGTGAACATGATAATGAACCTACAGGTTCCATAAAATGCTGGGAAGTTCTTGAATAGCTGCACAATTGGCAGTTTCTCAAGAAGGGTTCAGCTCTATGAGTGACTGACTGACACCAATAAGCATAACAAATTTATTTTCATATAATATAGAAGTTTGTGTAAAAAACTACTGGTTTCAATGAGATGAACCATTCCAGTTGTTACCATTACCTCTCCTACTTTTACCTGGAACTTGCCTGTATGAGACGGCCATGCAGCCTGCTTCATTCAGCGTTTTGGGTGGTACTGGCTCTCCAGTAGGATTCTTGATAACTATACTACTAGCGCCCTGTATATCGGCATGCACATAGATGTCGCCTTGTCGCATGTAACGCTTCACGATCACTTCATTCTGTTGCTGGTCTCGTCCACCTATCACTGTTCAAATATAAAGCTTCAGTCATTAACAATTAAATATTTCAACTACAAAATTAATCCCTGTGTAAGGATAATCTCATTATAACATGCATCATTACAACAAAATTTTCATTACGAAGAAAACAGGGCCATCATTAGAAAATCCTCATAATTTCCATATATGGTTACTCCCTAAAATATACACATTCTACAAGCTGCTAAAATTTCATATCAAATATTATTTCAGCATCCTGTTGCAAATCTTTAATTAAATGTCTATGTATCCACAGTCCGTCAATAATGCAACAATTGTTTATTCACCATTTAACACTTAACACAGCATGCTTAGGCCATACATGACCATCTTCAGGTATCTTAATGTATCAAAACTGTTATGCTGCTCTGACATGCAATAAAACTGCGCATTGCAGTCCACTTAAAAATAACATAAATAATTAATTAAAATCCATTAAAATTTGTTCATAAAATTCTATTCCACCTCATAAGGGACACCTCATAAGGCAATGCATGGTTTTAGCGCACATCAGACCAGTGTAACAGTTTGGATGCAGTAAGACACCTGAAGTTGGCCATCTATGGCTGAAATATGTTGTGTTAAATGTTATATAGTGAATAAACAATTGTTGCATTATTGACAGACTGTCGATACAGACGTTTAATTTCATATCAAAACGAAGACAAAATGTACACCACAGCTTTCTTAAATTTTTAAAAACACCAGCAATTATATACTTTGAGATCTGTGTAATGTGGTTGGTCATCTGTGGTTTCACTCAAACCCAGTGGCAATTATGAACAGAACTATCTTCGGCAATGGGATGCCACGTAATCCTATAGACATCCACTGAAGATTTGGAAAAATGTGCTGCTTATTTTTCGGGGTCAAGGATACATTAATCAAGCAATGTCATATAGCTCTTGGTATGAAGAGTATATATTATGTAATTTTCTCTAGTTCTAACAGAGAGAAAGAGCACTTACACCTACCTAGATAATTCTCAGAACTGATAAACCAGAAGAACTTTTCAAACCAGAAAACTTTTCTCGCTTTATTGATGCTAGTCATAGTCTGAACTTCTTTCAATGTTTGTTTCGTCTTCCTCTCAGCAGACTTCAAAGCTTTGCCTTGCGATTCCAGCGTCTTCTGCTGCTTTTTAGCAGCGCTCCTCTTTTTGTCATAATATCTGAAAAAAGTTACCAATCCTTAGAACCAACTCTTTGACACATCTGTTGGTCTGAGATTCCCTTCAAACCAATAAACAGTTTGAGGCACCCAAACCCCAAAAAATTACTTAAAATGTGATTCAAAATTTAAAAAATTACTAATGAATCAGTCTATTATTCTGCATCTACAACATCTATGAGGGCACATCATCATTGGATAATGAGGAAGACTGTTACCTCACCGTTTGAAAGTTGCCGGGGTTCCGTATTCACCAAACGACAGGAACCAAAATTGCTATATCAGAGATCTCCATGAACACGACTTTTCTTCTGTAAGGTTTTTTTTATTGCTAGTGGGGTGGGACTAAGTCCCTTGTACTGCGGCCACTTCTGGCCTATTGTGCCAGCTACAGATGATAGGTGAGGGTGATTGTGGAGAGCAATTGGTGGAATGAAGATTGGCAGGGCAAACCAAAGTACTCGGAGAAAACCTGCCCCAGTGCCACTTTGTCCACCACAAATCCCACTTGACCAGACCCGGGATCGAACCCGGGCCACCGCGGTGGGAAGCCAGTGACTAACCGCTTGAGCTATGGCGCAGCCCATAGGGTTGTTTACTCAAGATATCATACACCCTAAAAGAAATTCTGACAAACAATAAGCTGTATGAAGAATTTTATGTTCTGGGATATAATGCCATGTAGTCTGCTGAAAGTCAACCAACATCACAGAGGCTCTGCTTGCAACCTGCTTTCACACTGGTTTCTTTCTTAGCTTATTCTTTGACGCTGAAGATGGAAGCAGCATGTTCCTCCAAAATGTTGGCTGACTTTCAGCAGATTACACAGTGTTACGAGTATATCCCAGATGACAGAACTCTGTATAACCACCACTCTGAGAACAATGAATCCTAAATAAACTGCATGTTCATAATTTAATGTGGCCTCTTTGGATTAGAGGAATTCAATACCTTCATTATCAGCCAATTTTCTGGCAAGTCTAACTAGAACTACATAGCTCACTGGGTAGCCACAGTTTCCAACATGGGAAATAATTCCCCAAATACTACTGATAACTACATATATATCAATATATCACCTGCTTTAACTTTTAAAAACATTACATTTTTCCCCACAGAGTGTATCTGTGTATTCTGTATGATTCCAAAAATAAACAGACATCATATAATAGAGCTATGTACGGAAACTCTGGTGTAACTCAAAATTCTCACATCTATATACATAGCTATATACGGATTTCTCCAAAGCCAGTGTCTTTCTATTAGTATTATTCTCTTTGGCTGAACGGAAGCAAAGATATCGGAAATATGAAATCATTGATAGGCACCACCTCACCATAAAATGTACTTCAAAAGTAGACCCACGGACTAAAATCTCATGGTTAAAACAAGAAATCCTATGAATAACTAACTGCCTACTTTCCTTTCACTGTATACTGAGTATCTGACACAACATGGACTGCATAGAAAACACCGCATATTGCAACGTGAACATGTTTACTGAGACACAACATAGCAACAAAAGTCTCTTTTGGCGCCCCTTATTCCAGCCTGCTGGTGGGGGGGGGACACAGAAAGCAAGATGATTTCATAAGCCTATTTTTTCTTTCAAAATAAGGAAAGTAGTTAAAAAGATATAAAATCACATAAATTGTGTGTGGTTAGGGCAGTAAGGTATGGAAAAACTAAAGATTCCAAAACAGAATTATTCCAGAAACTGTTTAATCTGCTTGATTTCTTTAAGCAGTTTTCTTCATTGCAAGTACACGAATGTGGTAGCATAGTTGATGAGGAACTATGCTACAAAGCCGGACAGTCGCGGGTTCAAGTGCCGATGAGGTCATTGGATTTTTTTCAATTGACCTAATCCTTCCAGCCGCACTATGGCCCTGGGGATGACAGCCTCTAACAGATCTAACAGAACGAGTACCAGGAATTAATTAAATAATTTTCCTGGGAAGTAAAGTGCGGACAACCTTACCGCCATCTTTGAGCCGACTGTCTAGATAATGTGGGACCCTTGACGTCTCACAACACTATGGGCCTTCAAGGCCTGTCACAGGGATAGCTTTACCTTTTTTTTTTTTACTTTTTTTGTAAGTACAAGAACATGGCTACAAAATCATATGAAAGAAATTTCTATTCACAGCACAATAACTAAACTGTATAAATACTAACAAGGTTATGGAAACTTACTTTGTAGCATTGGAGAAAGCAGTCAAGTCAAGATCAATGTCAACCAACTTCGGTTTCAACTCCACATTCTCGTCCCTGCCATCTTCATCTGACGAATCTTCCTCAGTATATGGATCTCTGAAGTAAAAGCATAAGAGCCCCAAACTTGTACTACTTTGCAGAACTGTCTTCTTTTGAAATAATTTTAGTTCTTTGAAGCCCTGGCCATAACACTGTTTTTAGTAATTCTTTGAGAACTTGTGAACTTACATGTTTACTTTTCATTCTTTATGTAACAAGACTGGATTTATGGTACTGAATGATATGATGAAGGTTGGCTGGTCATTTGGATGGATGGATCATGTTATGTGAAAATGTTATATGGTATCAAACTGCATGAGAGGATGATCACATTCAGTGAACTGGGGAAGAAGTGCTTGTTGTACATTTTGGCATTTGCATGGAGGAACTTGGGCACGCGGTAGCATAGTTGGTTGAGGCACCATGCTACAAGCTGGAAGGTCGCGGGCTCAAGTCCCGATGAGGTCATTGGATTTTTTTTAAATTGACCTAATCCTTCCAGCCGCAATATGGCCCTGGGGTCAACTCAGCCTCTAACAGAAATGAGTACCAGGAATATTCTTGAGGGTAAAGGACAGCCAGTGAGTAGGGCTGACAACCTTGCCACCATCTATGAGCCAATTGTCTAGAAAATGTGGGAACCTCAACATCTCACAACCCTATGGGCCTCCAAAGCCTGTTACAGGGATAGCTTTACTTTTTACTTTTTATGGAGGAACTTAGGAAACCCATTAAAAAAAAAACCTCTGTCAGAATGGCAATATGGCTGAAATTTGAATCAAGAACCTCTGAAATACAAGTCATGAACGCTGTTGCTTGAGTCAACATTCTCATATTATTCAGCTGGGGAGATGAAAGGAAAAACATGCATCTCCTTTAACCTTATCTGTGCATCTATCTTTTATGATGGCATATGTATACATGCCAAGCAGACCCCAATAGACCAAATGTTGCGGATTTTACAATATGAATACGATTATGACCACCAGCATTGCACTAAAAGATACAGTTACCCTGTTCTTAATTAATTAAGTACCATGCCATGAAGACATATGGGGAACAGAAATACAGGTATGAAGACCACATATTTTTAAGCCCAGCACTAGGTGGAGGTGAGTGGTCAGCTTCATGCCCCACCTGCTATACTCCCAGGGAAAGAGCCCTTGATGCCAACTGAATAGGAGGCTGGGTAGGCCCCTGAACCTGTCTGTGGAGAACATAAAGATCTTTTGCCCCTGCCATCAATCAAACCCTGATTCTTAAGTTGTCCGATCTGTATCCCATTTTCACACACAATAATACAGTTCCATCAACAATGCAACTATATTTATTCTCTCCATTTTACACGTTTCAGCCACAACCGGCCATTAGCAGGCATTTTAATTTACCATACTGTATTGAATGTCACAGTAAAACAGTTTTGGCAAATTAAGATGCCTCATGATGGTTGGTTGGAGGCAAAACATGTTGTAAAAGGGTAGAATGAAAATAGTTGCAATGTTGACAGAACTGTATTATTGTGTGTGAAAGTTACAGTAATGCAAAAGGATGCTTAAATACAATACGGTATCCCAGTTACTACACTGACTGAGCTATCTGGGAGACTGAATCCCTTCTTCCCAGATAATAAAGGTTAAGGTATGAGGCTGGAACGTGTCTGGAGACAGAAATAAAACCAAAATGAACCTTGAGCACTATGCAGAGTTCAATCCACCACAAGCACAACTAACCTCAGCATCATTGTGATGTGATTTATTTCTAATTTAAGTCCTTTGATACTAGAAGCAACTGGATCCCCTTTAGCTTGCGCTTCCTTTATCAGGTTTTGAATATCAGGCCATGGCAGCTGATTGGCCAACGCGCTGCGTACAGCAAGAATCGCACTGTCCACCAGATGCTGGTTTACGGAGATCAGTTCTGCTCTCTGCTTATCTGTTTCCTGTGTGTGTTCAAGAGCCAATAATCTCTGGTCATGATCCTTGCGAACATTTGCTAACTTCTTCATGGCTTCACGCTCCTGTAACAACACATCTCACATTAGTTCATGAACACTTCTATTTCACAGTCCTGCAGCATCTTGTTTCACGATGCTTATCACTTCATATTTGCTGCCTTTTAATTTTAAATTATTTTTCATATCATTGGCGCACTCTTTATCTAGGTTTCTGTATGTCTGTAACAGGCAACAGTTATTGTGTCAGTATTTCACGTATGGAGTAAAATGATGTTTCCTATAATGTGGTTTTATTTCATGGCATTAAGACCAATTTTTACCATTCCACCAACACACACTTACAGAATCTGTGTGTGTGTGTGTGTGTGTGTGTATGTGTGTGTGTGTGTGTGCGTGGGGGGTGGGTGTAATTTTGAAGTTTGCTCCTAATTCTCCTATATGAAACAGATCCAGTGTCGTCATCGTTGGTAAACAGTCCTTTCGAGCCACAGCCTTCCTTGGAAGATTCCGCCATCCGGTTTCACACTTCTTTGGCTTTTTCAATCAATAATGTCATCACAGAGCAAGGTCATAATCAGCCATGCATCCGATCCCCAACATGGAGGATCATGTCTCTGTATTCACGTCCCCCAGCAACATGGTGATCCAGTTACAACCCCCCCCCTTCAGGCATTGGGTTCACTTTTCATCACCTACTGTGAACTCAGAGGGGTAAACTGGAGGTATTCTAACCTGCCTCCAAATGGAAAGAGACATACCAATAGAAGACAGAAAAACAAAATATATCTAAAAATAAAAAAATAAATAAAATAAAAGACATATGATTCACATAAGAAGTATCAAACACTATAACCAGAATCTGACCACCGTAGTGCCCTGGTTCCATAGATATTAGATCAGTATTCAAAGCATCAAAATTGTAATCATGACAAATATAAACAATTATCGTAGCAAACATGATAATAGTCATAAATGAAAAGACAAAATCTTGACAACATATCACATGAATATGAAAGTGAGATCCAGCTCTCAAAACGCTATGTCAGACACAGACAACCATCGATTTTTTAAGATTCACATTATGAAATTTTGCTTATATAAACTTTCAAATGAAGTCCATACCCTTAGCCTCAACTGTCATCCAAACACCAATCTGCTCAACCAAAATCCCTCCAAAATAAAAAGACCATCTTTCCTTCAACCCCACTGCAATGCCCAGCAATCCATGTCAAACTCCTGGAATCAGTTATACCATGAGAAAAGCAGTAGAAGGTAAGAAACTGTCTATTTTTCCGCCACTGTTTACAATACGTATTTTTATTAAAAAAAAATTGACATATATGTTATAGTATGATACAGTCTCCAATTGTTATAGTACAACATAATACATCTCTCATGCTTGTGTGTTCTGTTCCATGCATAAAAATCAGTGATTTATATTTTCCTATTTTTCGAAAGTTTTGGGACAGAACCTCTATAACATGGAAGCACGCAGCAGCATAGTTGGTTTAGGCACTATGCTACAAGCCAGAAGGTCGCTGGTTTGATTCTCAATGTCACTGAATTTTTCAATTGGCCAAATCCTTCCAGCCACATTATGGCCCTGGAGTCAACCCAGCCTCTAATAGAAATGAGTACCACGAATCTTTCTGATGGTAAAGGGTGGCCGGCACATAAGGCTGACAACTTTACCGCCATCTCTAAGCAGACTGTCTAGAAGATGTGGAAACCTCAACCTCTCACAACCCTATGGGCCTCCATGGCCTTTAACAGATAACTTTACCTCTTCTTTTCTTTTCTTTTTTTTCTCCATAACATTGCACCTATAGGACACAGCAATTCACATTATGAAACTTCACTTTACAAACTCTCTCCATAACACAGAGTACACATGCAAAACATTATCATACCAGAGTATACACAATGTTCAACTACAACAAATCATTTATGTCAGCATTGCTACCTGTTGCAAGGCTTTCATGTCAATCTTCTGGCTTTCAAATGTTGAGAAGAACTCATCTACAGCTGTATCGAAACTGGGAAACTCTCGTATGGGTAATCCAGCATGCTGCTCAAACACCATTGGATGAAACTCCTGATTTGAAAAGAAGTCTTCTTCACCCCCATCAGGCAGGGGACGTTTCTCTTTCCTCTGTACGATATAACCCTATGAAAACAACATTTGCCAATTCACATACCTGGCAATTACAGTACAAGCAGGCCTACAGCAATACAATTACTCGTATGAGTGATACGTATCGTAACTTCACAGCAGCTCTGAAGAGGTAGTTACAGGAAACATGCTTAGAAATGCACTCAGGAGTGCACACCAGCATTTGCAAAACTATATCTCCTGCTGAATCCATCTGCTTTCAGGGGGGAAAAAAATGTGATAATCCCCAGAGCAACATAATACATGCAGTATATTAGAAAATGAAAATACTTAATAATAACTTTAAGAAGAAGAAATTATCTCACTATTAGAAACCATCGGAATTCTAACCCGTGTATGTGTATTGAGAGATGGTGAGTCAAAAACTGTGACTGTAATCTCTAGAAAGAATTTAAATGGATCCAGAATCCAACATCATCTCTAAACACACATTTATCTCCACACATCACGTCTGTGACAAACTATAAGTTATATTCAGCAGGAGTTAAAACCTAGATGTAGGTGGGAGAACAATACTAAAACGTATCTCAGAGAAAGAGAATGGAGTGGTATGAACTTGACTGAACTGGCTCAGGAAAGGGACCAGTGGAAGGCTCTTGTGACCATGGTAATGAACATTCGGGTTCCATAAAATGTTGGGAAATTCTTAAGTCACTAAGTGACTGGCGGCATCTCAAGAAGAATTCAGCTCCATGGCGTCGGTCAGTCGGTCGAACAGGGCTGTAAAGATCTAAACATGGCATAAATCTCTGTATGTATAGCTGCCTATTGCACCATATTCAGCACAATACAACAAGTATCATCTTGGCCATCTGTCACATGTCACACGAACTGCAGTATGATCTTGTAGCCATGCCAGTGTGACATTTCAGAAGCTGTGTCACACCAAAGAACATAATGGGCATGATAAGTGAGATTACATTTCATTGACACATTTCGCTCCCTGAAAAATTACTTATATATTGTTTACTGAAAATGCATTAAGGAATAATTAACCTTCATCGGCCAGGCCATTTAAATTCCGGTAATGGCCGCGGGCCGGAGTTAATTTAAATGCCCGCCATTGCAGAGTAATAAAAATTGTAATTATGTTACTCAAAATGCTGTGATTTCTACAATTTTTGTGATAAACGAACGAAATAAACGCTGCTTTTATCTAGAAAGAATATAGAATCAGATATTGTAATTTACAGATTTTAGAATCTGTAAAAATTGTTACACTGATTCAAAAAAAAAATTTCCCCAATTTTGGGCGTCTGTCCAGAAAAATGCATAAAGCTTCTGCACAAAACGTTTCTGCAGTATAAATGCATGCTGCTGACACACTGTCTGGCTATGTCTTATCTGGTAAGAGGAGAGGAAATGTTTATGCTTTTATAGCACTCAGGAGTGAGGTCACCTCCCTCAGAAACATTGCCTGTGTATATCAGCCAAACAAGAAGTACTGTTATGCTTCTTAGAAAGGCCCCCACATGGCCCCTTACTTCTACATGCTTTCAGTCTTATGTACCACATTCTGAATGGCGTGATTTACGAGCAGCCTCTCAATTTCGGCTTCTTCCATGCGAAATGACGCCACCGTACATAGTTGAAATTGTGATGTTTTATAAGCGTTACGTTACGAATAGAGGAGACCACTCGCCATCCTGCTAATACGAGACTGATGTTGCGTGTGTGCGCTTCGCATGGAAAACAGAGTTACATATGGGCAAAGTGCATGAATTGCGATGTCAGACTCTGCATTGAGTTACATGAAAAATTCAGTTAGATGATGCAGGAGGGAAGACAGTCTACTTATAAAGCTGGTGTCCAAAAATAACATAAGTAGAACAAGAATTTCTATCTTAAAATTAGATTTTAAAACACTGTGTGCACACGTGGACTGCGAGTCACAATACGGTGTCGTTCGGCCACTCGGCTTTACTTTAAAGGTCCCCATACAGGGTCTTTCGGCTCATAAAGGTTAAGGATTAATAACTACAGGAAGAATTTAAATGAAAATCCCCATACAAAATCTCTCCAGTTTACAGAGATAATATTTCACTTATTCTCACATGAATTCACACACTCAAATTTCTGCGTTTTATTCAGCGAAATACATTACTACTTGGAGCTCCCACGCTGGCAAGTGATCTATCTATATCTGCTCCCAATACTTCATTCGAAATGCTACATACTGTATGCATAAGGCCCTTTTTGACTTACTTTTGGTTCCCGCTGCAAAGCCAAATCCAACAAGTGGTCTGCTTCATTCAGGGCTGCCAGAAGTTTTGACATATCTTTCTCCAAATCAAATCCTTTGCCAAGCTTGCAGCCTGTACTGAACCCTGCTTTCAGCAGCACATGTTCAATTATTGCGGGGCCATAATCTACAAAGAAACCATGTTCAAAAGGGCACAATTTAGGCTGGGACCACAGAAGCGCGCAAAATGCACCCATTGCAACAAACATACTTTATGACAGATGTTGCTGAGGACACCACACAGATGCAAAATGCAGCGCGTAGTTTTTTGTCTGCAATGGAGCCAGAAGAAAGCGTAGCAGTCACCTCTCTTGTTTATTTCTACAACAGATGTCACGACGTTCGTTACAATGGACGCATTTTGTGCGCTCCTGTGGCCCCAGCCTTAAGTGTGCAGAGAGCTTTCACAATGAAAGTATGCTTTATACGAAACTCAAACTTCAAAACGAAAGTCCATGAAGTACACGCAATGAAAATGTTTGTGATTTACATACCAAAATGGGGTATCAAGATCTTCTTCAGACTATCCCCCAGTGTGGCTGATGACAGTAAACTGTGTAACTTTTCTGCAGCTGGAGGACCTTCACGTTGGTGTGCTCTGTCCAATGGGTATTTCTCACGAACTGCAAACCTAACATACAGAAGAAAGTAAGAATACGATCCATGCTCATATTGTAAAAAGTAAAGCTATCCCTGTAAGAGGCCATGAAGGCTCATAGGGTTGTGAGACGTTAAGACTCCCACATTATCTAGACAATCGGCTCAAAGATGGCAGTGAGGTCGTCAGCCTTACGCGCCGGCTGCACTTGTTTCACCAAAAACAAAAAGTCAGTCAGTGTCTAGAACACCGACATCTAAATTTTAAAACAGCACAAATGGACAAATTCATGCACAGAAACATTAAAATCATAAATCAATCTTGTAAAAGGAAAACATAATCTATTTCCTACAACCCTATATATGTTAGAAACAACATATTACATGTACCTGACCTCTTCGCCTTCAGTGTGGGGGCGAAGAATATACAGTATCATCAGATTACAGTCTGTGAGCACAATGTTTCCACGATCGTACAACTCCAAAATCACATGGTATGCAGCTTCACCAGAACCAAACTGCAGGTCAACTATTCGATCCATTCCCAACTGTTTCAAGCACTCCAAGCGCTTGTTGCGTAAATGCTTTCTCATCTACACAGGTACAGAGAGACAACAGAGTGAAATATTTCTGTTACTATGACTTACCACAGTACATGTGGCTACTGCACTTCATACCATCTATTTTTCTTATTTATTCATTTTTATGTTGAGTCATGCACTAATGTAATCCATAGTTTTGTACCTATCATGTTAATTTCTGCATACCCACAGACAAGATTCATATTTCTATACATTCTGTTAACTATTTTTAATATTATGTATAATCATGAAAAATAACCCTAGGCTAGTTACTTTTCTATTACTATATATTGTAACATGGATAGCGAGACAACGGCGCGATGAACACCTTCTCACTTAAGCGCTTGACAACAATACATGATCATTTTTAGGTAATGACTAAGTAAACATGTTAAAACGTGCAACACTATAAGTTGTATCTCAGTGAATGAATGTTTCTTGCGCATTACTAGGCCACAGCCCGCATACCAATGAAGTCGCTGGCTGAGAATCACGTGACTTGTTTTCTGTAGGTCTGCACCGAAGATTTATATAGGGCAACAAAGGTCATTTTTAGTCAGCTGTAAGCTGCAAGAGCAAATTGGAACTAGGAGTGGAGAGTCCGGGGGGGTTCAACAGTTGAGAGTACATGGCGGAGAATGGAGTGTGAATTGTGAAGATTGAGTACAGATTAGAACAGGGGTGAACTGTAAATTGTGTAAATCAGCGATAGCGCCATATTGCCTGTATTTAAGTGTAATTACGAGAGAGAGTGCATGTAACTGAAGCGCTAATAAATCCAATCAACCGAACTAGAAGCAATCATTTCGTCATGCATACCATCCTACACGTGACAATATGCAACCCTGAGGACGACAACTACCCATGTAAAAACATGTCAGGGGAATGATGAATTTAAACTGATTTCAGGAACTTGTCTTGTAACTGACTGCATTGTAATAATATACAATATTCATTTATGGTTTACTTAATGACACTATCACTAACCCGACCTACAGTGTCAAATGGTAGGGTGATTAGGGAATAATTGGAAAAGATATGGAAGGAAGGTGTTGTGACATACTTCAAGGTACTACTCTGGCATGTGCATGCATGGACTGAGGAAAAACATGAGAACCCTCAATCAGGATGGTGATCTCCAGGCTGAGACTTGACCCCAGGGCCTGCCGCATATAAAGCAGCAGTGTCATCCCGTCAACGAGTGTTTGGTTACACACTCAACTGTCAAGCATAAGTTGTCTTCTGATTAACTTGAATAATATTGTAAACTACCAAAATAACAAAAGTGAATATCACTTAATATGGTGACGTTCCTAAACACCACAGCTATTAGCCCAACATATGTGTTACAAGCCTCTCCGACTCCTCCACTTGGATGCACACTCACAATAATCTAACCATATCTTTAAACCATACTGTCAGGTGTTACTGTCTAGACAGGGGTTTCGATTTACTGAACACTTCTAACACGTACCTACAGGTAACTATAACCATTTCACTGATCTACACAATATAAGATCACTGTACAGTAGCACATGTATGATATTGTATGTCTTCACCAGCTGTTGTCTGGTAATAGCTCCCAAGAGTGAGTATTCTTCTACTTCTGTACTCATGTCCTTACCAGCTAGTGGCTGTCTTGCAATTCCTCATGGCTGCAACTCATGAAAATAACTGTCTCTCATCTCAACTGGTAGCCATGTTATATAATCTAAGCATAGACCACACAGAAAACAACACTTTCATGAACCTCTTCTGTTGTTGTGTCACATGCCCACTGTATTGCAGGCTTGTTTATCAAACTGTTAGCTAGCAATGGACAATTGAATAGTCACTTCACAATATCAATATACACCACATAAGCTTTACATTGCCATGTTCCCAACAACACCTACATTCATATCCTATTGTTTTAATATCGATTTTAATTGTATCCTTCTACCTACACCTAGGTCTCCCAAATGCTGCCTTTGTTTCAGGTTTTCTCGGTTAAAATTTGATAAGCATTGCATCTAATCCTACTTAATTTGATCTCTCCGATAATATCGAAAGCTACATAACCTATCACTATGAACCACTTACCTTCATACTGAACCCAGATGGTGCAACATTCTTTGGCCATTCGAATGCAGTTGAATGCAGCCGACTACCAGATTCAAGAAGCAACATACATTTCTCTTCCGTTCTTTGAAGTTTTATTAGATAAGTTTTATGATCTATGTCATAAACCTGAGCAACACGCAAGCCGATCAACCTGCAAAACAATGTGGACAATCACTTCTATGCAATATAATACAACATCTTATTGCATTTTTTTTTTGTACTCAGTACATCTGACAGTCACTTTTAATGCAACACAAAGATCTTTTTAATTTACTGATTCTGATGACATGTCAACAATTTTTGCCAACTTTAGTGGATTCAGGGTGTTGCATGGTCAGCGCAACAAATCCCCACGGCCGTTAAATTTCGGTTTTCTAGACCGGAGCTGCAATTTCCTTCAAATAGTTCATCAGTTATCCTCTTGAGGCGGAGTGAACTCCGTTCCAGACCCACTACTTATCAGAAAATCTGACAGCGCCGGGAATCAAACCTGGACCTCTGGATCTGTAGAGAGCACACTTGACCACTAGACCACAGAGATTTGCACCAACAAGCAGCAGTCACTTGGTCAGTATAGTTCACTTGCGGAGTAAAACCACAGTGTTTCTTTTGTTTTGTAAACATTATATTCATCAACCATAATAAACTATGAAGAGAGCAGTTTTCTGCATTGTCAATCTAAGCGGATATCAGGTGGCCTGATGTTTTTGACAAACCCACTGCCTCCATCTTCACTGTCAAAGAATAAGCCAGGCAGGACACAAACACAAGCAGGTGCAAAACATGTCCATCCACACATCTGAGTATTTACATTGGGCTATGTCCATCCACAGAACAAAGTTCAGTTTGATGCTTGCTTTGCTGCCTTTTGCTTGGCTTTTTCTTTTTTATTGATAGTGGGGAGGAACTAAGTCCCTTGTACTGTGGCCACTTCTGGCATATTGTACCAACCCCAGATGATAGGTGAGGGTGATTGTGGAACAATTGGTGGAATGAAGATTGGCAGGGGAAACCGAAGTACTCGGAGAAAACCTGTCCCAGTGCCACTTTGTCTGCCACAAATCCCACTTGACCAGACCCGGGATCGAACCTGGGCCGCCACAGTGGGAAGCCAGCGACTAACCGCTTTAACTATGGCACGGCCCTTTGCTTCGCTTACTCTTCAACCATTAACATGGAAGCAATATGTTTCTTCAAAATGTCAGGCTCTCCCAAAACTACGCAGCATTACAACTCAGAAGATAGCAGTCTTCATGGTCCCATACATGAGAACCTAAAACTCGACATGCTCTAACTATAGTAAACCCTAACTAATCCAGTTACAGTTAATCCAAATGTCAGATAATCCAGATCAAAATACCGGCATTTACGCATGTATAGGCCGCAGCACAATTTTCAGACAGAAATTATAGAAAAAATAATTTTCTTGGAATATTATTTCAGGAGTAGAACACCCTGTATCACTAATTATGAATATATTTTTTTTTAAATGAAGTGATTTCGAATATTTCGAATATAAGCCGCACCCCAGTTTTCCTATTGAATTTTTGGCAAAAAATGTGCGGCCTATACATGCGTAAATACGGTATGAAAAATGAAGACTGCTGTTCACAACTGAGTACATACTTTAAGACGCACGGCATTCAGGAAGGCAGATGAGTCACTTGTCTGCTCAGACAAAACTTGAGACGATTTCTTCAAACATGCATTATTACGTTCAAAAACAAGAACAGCTGCCGAGTCTTCTATCGATGGATAAATGTATTGTCATTTTAGAGCTTTTTAAAAAAGAAGATTCTACAATACTATTTCTTTTCATTAGCACAACTTGTGTATCATTAAATTTTCAATTTATTTATTCAATTTATTTGGTCTACATTTTAAACATTAATCTGGATTATCCCTTAATTCAGATGACCTCAACTAAATTACTTTGGATTAGCAAAGGTTCAGTGTACCCGTGTAGCTCCTATGGGAACCTGAAGACAAATACCACCACTTACTCACCAATATACAAATTCACTTGCCTCTCCTCTGCAAATATATATATATATCAACCTATATCTTATTTAAATGAAATGAACTATGTAAACATTTTTTGTTCTGCAATTACTATCAACAAAGCTTCTTACTAATTCTTCAAGCACACCACAATCTCTTTACATCCATCACACAAATGGCACTTGCAATCCTTACTGTCTTGCTTCCAAATTACTAGTCATAAACTGCACTATGTGGTTGAAACAGATCACATGGTAGGCCACTTACATGCATCATTAGCAGCCTGTTTAAAGTGTCATTATGAAACAACAATCTAAGCTTATTCTTCACAAGGTTCACTTCATTTAATCCCATTTTGTGGGCAGCTACAGAAACTGGGAGCTCAGTGAGTACTGACATGGCCTTCTTGAGGAGTGCGAATATATTTTTGTTTGCAAAAACAGACTTTAGTAACTCATCGAGCTTCATTCCCTAGCACATGCCTTGGCTTCATACCACTCACTGAGTGCTTCTCAGGTGGATGATTTAAAACACAGCAGTGAAAAGTGGTGACAACTTTCTCTTCCAAGTCACCAAAACATCTGTTCACTACCAGTCTGCCATGAGGCAGTATCAAATACAGAACAAGCAGCAGTTACTTCAAAAATGATGATGTGAGACATCCTTCCAATTAGAACTTTCATACCTGATTTAATAACTCTCCTTATATCTTGTTTCTGTATGTGTTATTTCAGTCAGATTAATTTTATGCAACTCTCCTGTCAGAATGCTCTCAAAGTGTTTTTCTCTACTTATTCTTCAGTTTCTTCCAGTTTCTCTAATGAAAGAGTTAAATTTCAATATGTACCTTTACAGAGTTTCAACTTCTGGTCTTCCTTTTGAAAATTGCGGACGGCCTCTTAAACATCCAGGAAAGTACAACAGAAACTGAACAGATGGCAAAAAACAGAAAGGCTTCAGATCCTTGTACTGACCTCATTTCTTAAAATTTCCTGAGTCCTTACGAACAACACTGGACTTCCAATCAAAAACGAGTATTGTACTAGCCACTCGGTGAATATTATAAACATTTTGAATGTTTAGGATCTTTGCAGTCAGGGTACTAGCAAAGCTCCTTAGTACATCTTGGCATTTCAAGCAACGTCCATAAAACATTTAACAGCAGCCGATTCTTAATTCTGTTTCTTCAGACATACAAATACTCTCTGCGCATCCATCATTTTATTTAAAAATCTAAAAACACAAAATTAAGCGATCGGGTAACAGATGAGGTGGACGGAAAGACTCACTTTTGAAGTTCTGTGACGCTGCACAACAGATCATACGTGCTAAATCTAGTTTTCATTTTGATCAATATTAATATTTTCGGTGGAGAACGAGAAGCGTGCTTGTGAAAACAAATTAATTTTCTGCCTTCCTAAATACTATATTCACACTTGTTTCACTCCAATTGCTCAATGCCTTCTGCAACTCTGGACTGCTAGTTCTACAAAATGACTGACTGATTTACGTCATATTGCAAACCATTTCGCAAGGCTGTTGTCAGGTACTATTTCCACCAATTTCCACTAGATGGCAGGACGTGAAAAAATTCGAGCGCGAGATACAATATTACCATTCTCTGAGTTCTAGCGTGTATTCAACCTTGTAGGATCTGAAGGGATCTGAGATTCTCGAAGAATTTGTTGTTAAGAGTTCTAGCTTCTGAAATAAAATGTCGTGTAATCCTTTGAATGTCAACCGACGTTTCGGAGGAACGTGTCGCATCCATTTTCTGGGTTGAAGAGTAAGCCAACAAGAAACCAGCATGAAGCAGGTTGCTTACAGGCAACGTTCAGTTGAGATTGTCTCAGAAATCCTGGGAAAGATGGTCTTCATGTTTGGGTGATAAGTTTATGAACTCCTCAAATTAGCAGTGAGCAGCAAACATTCATACCATGCACAATTCTTTTCAGGAACCAAGACTAAAATTTGTTGAGTTCTATCTTCTGGAATACACATTGTGTAGTCATTGAAAGTCAACAGAAGTTTGAGAAGAAATGTAGCCTGTTTCAGGTAGTTTCTTGCTTGACTTACCTTTTAACTGTGTACATGGATGCTACTAATTCCTTCAAAATGTTAGTTGCCTTTCAACGAATTATGGAGCATTATATGCCAGAAGATAGAATTCTTCATGTTTAGTTATGTTTCCTGAAAAAATTGTGCCTGAACTGAATATTTACTGTTTACTTCTAAGCTGGGGAGTTAATAAATTTAACACCTGAATACTGACATCAATTTTACAAGAATTTTCGGGACAATTCCACATATAGATCATTCTCGTGCAATTGAAAAATATCATTGAGGGTAGACAATTGCTCACATTTTAAATAGTAATAAATGTTAAACTACTCTATCAGATTTTGCCAGATAATCATTTTGAATTCCTTCTGTTATACATATGTCATTCTAGGTGTCCAAATGCTTACATTTTAAAATAGTAATGCATATTAGAGTTTTCTGTCAGATATTTTCAGATAATGAAGATGTCCGTCTTAGAAATAAATAAAGAAATACTGAACATTTGATGCACTGAGTCATGAAAATGCCTGATATATTTTAAAAATTTGTAAAAGCAAACATAATAACAATGTGGTACTTCTAAATAACAAATACATTTGAAGAGTACCTTGTTGGTCCAAATTTAATAATTTACACAAGTTACGTTTTGGGAAAAATATTTGGAATTCATACAATTCTTTTAACATTTAGCAGATTGCTGTTGGTGCTGCATAAACCAATCTGATACAATGAAATGACAAAGAAGACAGAGATAGTTGCAGAACCAAAGACTGTCCATTTTAGTTTCAGAAGTTACACAGAAGTCAAGATGACTGGGGAAAGTTCATTCAGTAAAACAACAAATAATGGGCTAGATGACAGATTTATCACTGGTAGGGATGAAGATTTTTCCCTTTACAACCACATTCAAACAACCTCTAGGTTCCATCTAGCCTCCTTTCCAATGGTTATCACGGATTAAAATAGCCATAGCAAGAAGCTGTCAGTGCACCTCCATCTATAGGAGAGGATATGAATGCACATTTCATCCTGACATCATACTTCAACACAGGGACAGCTTTAACTTTTCATCTTTTACACAGAATTTAAGTCCTAAAATCTGTATTTTTGTTTGGTTTTACAAATACAATGCAATGCTTTTAACTGCTTTTAATTTATTTTCAGCCTCTCTGTAAATAAATGTCACTTAAATGATGCAACAATTACGTGAGTTCACAAAATGAATATAATATTTATCACACAATATCTGCCTCTCTCAAAATACAACTCCTGGAGCGGTTTCGCTGGGAACATCTTGCTTATCCACCATACTGCTAGGACCTTACACCTAGTGAATTCCATATCTTTGGACCACTAAAGAAGCACATCAAAGGAAGCCCTGGGGTTGACCCAGCCTCTAACAGAAATGAGTACCAGGAATTAGTTAAATAATTTTCCTGGGGAGTAAAGCATGGCCAGCGCATAAGGCTGACAACCTTACCCCCATCTTTGAGCCGACTGTCTAGATAATGTGGGAACCTCAACATCTCACAACCTTACGGGCCTTCGTGGCCTGATACAGGGATAGCTTTACTTTTTTACTTTAACAACCAATTTTATTATACTAAATTTAATTTTATTAAATAAAAATCTTCTCCTTCATAATGACACATATATTTCAATATATAAATATTATCATAAAAATCACTGAGTATTCAACTAGTGATTTATTTTCTGCCAGACCATTAACAACTTGTGACATTCTATTTTATTTATACAGTTGTGCTAATAATTGAGATCTCTCAGAATTTTCACTGATCAAACACAGACTTAACATGACAGCCTTACTGATAAAACAATTCTACAAAGGAGGCAGACAAGTTAAAACACTGCCATATATGAGAAAATTTATTTTATGGTACTGCTCACTGATCATAAGTCACAGTCTTGTGCATAATTTGTTCATATGAACTGGTTTCAGTGTGTGCTCCCAGTGGGTCTCATGGTACATCAATATGCTATGTAACATGGCAACCAACATGTTAAGCACAGGCATAAAAAATAAACAGCAAAAATGAGTTTGTTTCAGTGAACAGCTGGTGGATGATCTAAGAAAAAAATACTGCATAATGTATGCTGGTTTTCATCTATAGAAAATAGAGGGCAAAAAAGGGATAAAAATAGAAATGAAATGAGAGAGTTAACAGGTAAGATTTAGATGAATAACGATTACAATGGTTTAGCCATGCAAAAAGCATGAATAGGATACCACAGAGAGAATTACAAAAAAAAAGTTTAAAGAAAAGTGATGTGTGGGAAACCCCAGAACAAGATGGTTGAACCAGGTACGGGAAGGCTGCAAGAAGACAGAAAAGACCTGGCAAGAAATCAAAACAGGATAAATATTGGGAAGAAGGAAGAAATTTAAGACTTTTTCTCAGTCCATAAGATCGTCAAGCACATCTGACAATATAAGCACAACCTTTCTTTTCATAAGCTACGGAGTATGATATTAATTTTGATGATATTAATAACGGATGTCCAAACATTTTATCTCTACAGCAACACTCTGGATATTGTCACACAGCATTTAATTAAACATGAATTACCGCACTAGTAAAATGCCAGACATTAGCACCCAATGAGTAAAAACTTAACAATAACAACATTATTTACAGCTTTTCACTCATTTCTCATCTGCCATGAGACCCTTGATGGCAGCGAAGAGACTCTCTTTGGTGAATGGGCATCTTGAATATGTGGTTCCACAGTTACCTCCACTTTGGCCCATCTCCACTGCTTGCTTGATGCTTGTTCCATCAAGCAAAAAATTCACGACAGAATTTCTATAACAGAAAATAAACTCAGTTTATAATTAAGAAGACATTGTAAAACTATGTGATTTCTTCCAAATATCATCATTTAATTTGTAGGTTCATTTCATAATTAATATTTCAGTTTATCTGAGAAAGAAATACTAATAGACGTATAATCCAAACTCAAAGTAAATAGGGGTAATAATGCAATGTATTGCTCATCATATGAAAATAAAAGTTTCATAAATGCAACCAAGGTATTCTTAAACCTGACTGACATAGCTTATTCACTCTGAAGAGAACAGACTACAAATGGTTTAATCTTTATTTCACCTAGTAAGAAAACTGAATACAGTGTAATTTTTATAGACTTCATTCTGTGTTAATGATTAATAACTGATCTGCTTTAATTTCTCTAAAATAATCCACAAAAGTAATATTATATATATATTTGTGTTATAACAAGCTATTGTTATGAATCCTGACAGTGCCTCATGCAAACTTAATGCAAAGTTGAAGATTACAATTGCACCAATAAAAAATAAAATTAAATTTGCTAATCAGCTTCTAACGTAAACCTCTTATAAAAAAATTCACTGCAAAACACCAAGTGGCATAGTAGCTAGAACACATGTGCTGGCATTGTACAATACTTGTCCAATATGCATTTGTTTTATACATGCTGAACACAGAATCCCATAGTTCAACTCCTCTGCTGAAACATGTACATTCAACCAATAGTTGCAACATGGCTACTGCAAGGAACAATTACTCAATTGAAGAAAGCAGTCTTCTGGCATTTGGCACCGTGTATATGTGGTGTAAACCGACGATTCAGAGGAACGTATCGCCTCCATCTTCAGGGTAGAAGGAAAAATATAAGAAATCCACAGGCGAAGAGACCGTGAGAACCGGTACAAGCAGTTCCTCCAGAATGTCGGTTAAAACCACATACACACGGTGCCAAATCTCAGAAGACTGCTTTCTTCATAGTCGCCGCCGTGAAAACCTCAAATCTTACAATTACTCAATTAACTCACGCTGCTGCAGAATCTACAAGTTCATCCAGGCTGCTGGCCGATCCATCAGTTACCTTCTCTGAAGCAAGTTTTATGTAAGAACAAACTGCTCTCTGCATGCATGAGGAGGAGTCAATATTGTACTGCGCTAGTGTCTCATCTACGCGGGACAGAACATCCATGATTCCCAATTTCTTCTCATTTTCACCTGTAGAGGGAGTGACATTGAATTCTACTAGGTCCCTTACATCCTGAGAATAACATTTGTATATCCATGTGACCTCCTATTTCTTGTAATGAAAGTAAATTAAATGAAATTAAACTTTGATTTGTTTCATTCTGGTCCGTCACACTAACAATATTACAAATGATAAAACAATTCAACCAAACATAGGACAACAACAAGAACTACCTTCCCAAGAAAGAAAGACGGCACAAGTTCGGCCCCGTCAAGAAAAACGAAAGGACAAGGGACACGAACCATTTCGGTTAAAGAATTTTAACTTAAATAACAAAAAGTTTTTAAAAAAACTTTAATGAATCAAGGACAGTTGCTCTAGTTGTAAGAAATTTGGATTTTGTATAAAGTGTATATTATAAATATAGCATATTTATGTATTTAAAAAAAAATCAAAAACACCCAGTGTAATAGTGGTTTCTGAAAGTATTGATGCTCCCTCTGATGACTGTCTATAGAGACCGAAACATGCTAGGGTCCTAAGAAGTGAAGTAGTAAAAAGCTTCAACAGTCACACTGGACTGAATTGTTTTATCATTTGAAATTAAACTTCTTATTCTCGTCTTCTTCTTCTTCTTCTTCTTCTTCCTCTGTGTACAGGTTATGTAACTTAATGCCTATACTGATGCAGAGTATCAATATGTTAAAACAAGTGGTACGTATAGTAACCACTGGTCTTTGAAGTGTTAATTAACATGAATAGAACTCAATATCTGTGACAACTTACTTCGGTATCCATAGCTGCCACCTCCCCCACCAAAACCTGTGGTATCATGGCCAACACTGAGCACGTGAAGGATTTTGGGAAGTATAAAGACAGCTCCAAAACCTATTATGGCACCAAGGACAACTCCTCCGAGGTCTAGCTTGAGCTGGCCGTTCAAACCACTCAAACCTGTGGAGCCTGAATTCTGATGGGACAGCAATTAGAGATATGTTATCTGTGGTTCTTCTAGAATTTTAATGTTCTTGCCATCACAAATAGAACACATTAGTCAAAGTTATATATTTTGTTATGGAAACTGTGCACTAACATTGACTTCTGCACTCAGGACTACTGGGTTTTCAAGACTTCATCCGGTATCACATATTCTAAAAAACACAACATTTCAGGAAACCAGATCTGTTTCAGGTCTCAGGTTAGGGGTGGGAGACACCTACTCTGTTGCATCTATTAGAAGGAGTTAACCTCAATCACTGGAGTGTTATACATCATCGTCAGAACCCTCTAGAACTGATTTCTGTATTTCAAGATATTTCAAAGCAAAAGAAAGAAACTGTTCAGAAGCAATATCTTGGATAAAAGCTGAGTTTTATAGGTTAAATAATTAATATAAACTAAAGTTCTTTGCCTTATAAAAATTATGCAACCTTAAAAAGTCTTTGTCAAACAAATATTTGTGAAATAATAATGAACGTCCTATCAAACTGATTAGTACTTACAGCTACCTAAGGCCTGGGATAATTATAAAAAACAATCAAGGAAGATAGAGACATAAAATATTTATTTTTGTAGGGTGATGATAAGAAATTGGACATCATGATGAGAGGAGAAATATTATTCCCAGATAACACTCACACAAATGGCTAATATTGTGAGTTCACTATGAAACAAATATCACAGAATAATTATGATGGTTGAGTATGCAAGGGTTGGAAGAGAGGGTATACTGGACTGGAAATATACACGTAGCTTGGTGTGTTTTAGTTGTTGTAAAAGTATGTTATACATAAAACAAGTTTTCAAAAATTCTTGAAATATTAGTATATAAAAAGTAGAGGCCTTCCTAAACAAACACAACATGATATCCAAGGCTCAAAATTGACTCAGAGAGAAGAAATCTACTAATACACCAACTCAAACCTTCATACACGATATCCAAAAAGCATTAGATAAGAAGCAGTTAGTTATGGGCATATTTTTAGATTTAACTACAGCCTTTCATGTAATAAATCACAAACTACTGCGTGACAAATTGGAGCTGTATGTGTGGACTTAGAGGAAAAATACACTCATGAATGAGTTCATATTTTACTGGCAGAACTCAATTTGTGGAAATACAGTAATTAGATGAAAAGACCTTAAATAGAGAGACGTATATTTCTTCATGTAAAGAAATAAAATATGGTGTACCTCAGGGTTCTGTTTTGAGACCCCTTTTGTTATTATTGTTTATAAATGGTTTGCCCCAGGCTGTTCAAGAAGCTCACCGAGAGAAATCCCAAATTTTCAATAGGGAAACCGTAAAAGTTATGAAACAATTAGAAAATTGGTTCTTGACAAATAATCTTGTAATAAATACAGAAAAGACCAAAGCAATACTATTTCAGGGAAGAGGATCTCGTTCAATTCATGGGCCCATTCTGTGTTTAAATGACCAAGAACTAACTTATTTAACAAATTAAAAATTTTTAGGTATTTATATCACAGAAAAATCATACAAAATACCTTTGTCAAAAATTAAACAAAGCTCTTTGATTAAATCCTTATGTGACTTAGCACATATGCCTGTATTAAGAAATGTTTATTTTACAAAATTTCAGTCTCTACTAAAATATGGTATCATATTTTGGGGGGGATAAATGAAAGTAATGCATTATTTAAAATACAGACAGACAAAGGAGTATGATCATATCACTGGATGGCATAAAGACAAAATGGAAGTGAAAATGGGTATGTTTGGCTTTGGCACTACAGAAACTATAGTATAGCAATTTTAACGAGTTCATTTGGCAATGGAATAGTTAATATGCAAGGAAGGCATCTCAAATGGGAAAGCTATAATTACCTGGATTGCTGTAGTTCCATATGTAAGGAAACCGAACCTGGGCTCCTGCCGCCGATCGCCTATGTCATTGCTTGGCTCTGCTATTACATCATTCCTGCTCTCACTTCTCCTGTGTATCGCAGTCTGATTGCTGGACTTCGATTCCATCGCGATCTGATCGCCCGACTGAAGAAAATAGCTACTGGGGCTGGGCAGAAACCCCCTACAATTCACAGTAACAATACAGGGCACAATGTATTTGCATGCAGGCAGCTTTTGTTTTGTCTTTACACAGGGCCAGACTTCAGGGAAGTGACACAAACAGATTCCATAGATTTTATTGAGATATTTGCTTTCTTAAAATCACGTATAGTTTGTATTTTTGCTTTATAAGTACTCAAAAAATTCATAGATTTTATTGAGACATTTGCTTTTTCAAAAATCGAGAAAGTCAATTTACATTTTTGCAATTATAAGCACTCAAAAAAAAAATCATCATGATATAATTATTACTGATTGGGGCCTCCACATTTTGATTTGCCCCGGGGCCCCCAACAACTGTAAATCTGACCCTGATTATATTTTCAAACGATTTCTGTCTCTAAAACATAACACACTGGTTTTAGGTTTATCAGATTAATAAAACCACCTGAAGCAATACAATCCTTTCAACATTAAGACGGGAATGTAACAGAAGAAATTACATGCGATCTGAATTCATATCTATTGTAATATCACTCACAGATTCTACAAAACTTGTGAACCTATTATTTCATTCAGCCTGACATGTTTTGATGCTAGGCTCCTTTTATGGGCTTAGGTTCAAGGATTGACCGTCTCTGTGGTCTAGTGGTCATAGCTCCTGCCTAAAGATACAGAGGTCCCAGGTTCAATTCCCGGCGCTATCAAATTTTCTGAGAAGTAGTGGGTCTAGAGCGGGGTTCACTCAGCCTCGTGAGTATAACTGAGGAGCTATTTCAAGAAAATAGCGGCTCCGGTCTAGAAAACCGAAATTAAAGGCCGTGGGAATTCGTTGCGCTGACCACGTGACACCCTCTATCCGCTAAAGTTGGCACTAACTTCGCCGACAAGTGGCAATCGCTCCGTATACTCTCATATTTAAGTAAAGATCTATATTAGGAACGGCGTGATTACCGCTATTATAAAATAAGATATTTAAAAGAATGTGCTACAGAAGGCCGGATGGGCATTGCCTAGGCCTTTTTGTATCTACAATATTTTTTCTACAATAAAAATAATATCCACGGCCGTTAATCTCGGTTTTATAGACCGGAGCCGCTATTTATTTGAAATAGCTCCTCAATTATCCTCACGAGACTGAGTGAACCCCGTTCCAGACCCATTACTTCTCAGGAAATCTTGTAGCAACGGAAATCGAACCAGGGACCCCTGGAACTCTGTCCACTAGACCACAGAGGCGGCCATCGGCCAGATCAGAAATGAGAAACATTATAACACTGCGAGCAGAGGACTCTACCCTGTGGCTTCATGTTGCTTAGGAGCAGAAAGGCAAACGTCAGTTGCGACTACAAATAAGGTTATGGCGAGGATCTTGGCTGCACCCATTGCCTGCAACATAACAAAACAAAATTACCAAATGAGATATCATGTAAGCTGAATGAGCCAAATTCAAACTACGATTAGAATGGAAGAAGAGAAAGGAGGATAAGATGAAGAATATTTAGAGTAAAGAGCTGGAGGATTGTGACAAAACTTTACGGGGTCTCGGTTAGGCCTATTAAGAATAAGCGTGAGAAGAATAAAGATGGCTACATGCAACCTCAAGGCAAGGGATAGCTCAATCGGTATAGCGACTGGCTACGGCCTAGACGACGTAGGGGTCGGAGCTCGAGTCTCGGTAGGGTGAAGAATTTTCGCTTCTCTGCAGTGTCCAGGCCGGCTCTGGGGTCCACCCATCCTTCTATTTAATGGGTACCGTGGCCCTTTCCCCGGGGGTAAAGCGGTCGAGTCTTAAGCTGACTACTCACCATCAACTAGTGCCGAGGTTAAGAAGACGTGGAGCTGTACATCCACTCCTCCCTACGTCTTCATGGTGTGGTGCTTAATTAGTAAAGCATTGAGATAACTTTACTTTTACATGTATCCTCAAAATGAAGCCCTTCACATACATGTCCATGTCCACCTATACATAGCGCACTTGCAAAATATATGATGCTATATGTGGGCATCCTATGTAAAACATCTACTTTCTAAAACAGGTGCAAAGAAACGCATTTCTTTACCTTCACCTTCTTTGGTTTAAGCCGCGGTACCGCAGTTGGTATGGCGACTGCTTAAGGCCTGGACGACCGAGGGGTCGGAGTTCTAGTCCCGGTAGCGTCAGATTTTTCTCTATTCCATATAGTCCAGAGCGGCTCTGGGACCCACCCAGCCTCCTATCCAATGGATACCGGGGGCTCTTTCCGTGGGGGTAAAGCGGCAAGGGCGTGAAGCTGAGCGCTCACCTCCAGCTAGTGCCGAGGTCAAGAAAATATGGATCTATATATCCACTCCCCATACGCCTTCATGGCGTAGTGCTTAATTAGTTAAGCATAGGGACACCTTTGCCTTTTTTTTTTTTTTTTGCCTTTTACATAAAGTTAAAAATTCAATAAATTATTATTTTGGTACGGCAATCAGAAGAGCTCAGTCGGTACAGTGACGAGACTAGGGGAAGCGTGACGGATTCTGGGTTGGGGCAAGAGACTGGTCTCTTCGCCACGATGTCCAGATCGCCCTCAGGGCGCACTTCCTGCCCGGTAACAATCGCGAATCTTTCCCTTTGATGGCGAACATGCCTTTTCACCTCCATCTATCATCGAAATTATAATCGTGTGCAATTGAACCTCCATTCCCCCATGCATCATCGTGGCATGGTGCTTAATTAAGCATAGGGATATCATCTTATACATTTTACCTTTATTTGTGCTTGGAAAGATGATTAAATTGACTACCATTCTTTTCCTATGCGTGCATAATAGCTTCGACTAAACGTTTCTAGTAATGTAATACATTGTGAATGCACGCAAAAAAAAGCAAACCCCGTGGTTTTAGCCCGCAAGCGAACTATACCGACCGAGCGACCGCCGCTTGTCGGCGAAGTTAGTGCCAACTTTAGCGGACAGAGGGTGTCACGTGGTCAGCGGAACGGATCCCTACGGCCGTTAATCTCGGTTTTCTAGATCGGAGCCGCTGTTTCCTTGAAATAGCTCCTCAATTATCATCACGAGGCTGGGTGGACCGCGTTCCAGACCTACTTCTGTGATTGTACACAGTGTCCAATATTGGGCAAAACTTTCTCCGCTTTCTGAAGAGGGGCCCGGAAACGATGGCTTATGTTTAATTTCACCACCTTCTCCGACTCTACCGTTTAAAAAATGTAGGCATATGCTTCAAAATGTTTGACAAATTGGCAAGGTATTTCATCTGTCTAAAACATCTCTGCAGTTACGTCATATTTTGACTAGGCAACCTTACGGAAGAAAAGTCCCTGTGTGTTCAACCAGACTTCAGATATTGACACTTCGGTCTCCATCGCATGATAGTCTAGTAACTTTCTTATAATGACGTAACAATGTCCGTCACTGTCTAGATGACGTCACTCCTTCAGAGATGGTTTAGACACAATACATGAATACATTCCACACCCGGGAATACCTGTTAATCCAAACGGTTACAACAATACCAAGAAATCAGGCATTTATAAAGATATATTTCATCATTTACTAACTCCATGGATCTGATTCATTTTTGAGAAACTGCCAGTTACTCAGCCGCTAAAGAATTTCCCAAAATTCTATAGAGTGCAAATGTTCATTACCGTGTTCACAAGATCCCGCCACCGGTCCCGATCTCGAGCCATATGAATCCAGTCCACATCCCCATTCTATATCTTTAAGATCAGTTTTAATATTATTCTCCGATCTACGTTTAGGTCCTCAGAGTTCACGTGGAAACATACAAATAAAATTACGTATTATTTCTTTTATGCAATCCTCATTATAGAAATTGATAAATTAACATTGTCTTCCTCTAAGTAATCTGGCCTTAATCTAAAAGTAAAGTCACAATATGTTGCCAAAGACTCGCCACATTTTGCCAGAATTTCTATTAAGAAACATCAAAGTGGAATGCAGAGTCAATATAGCAAACAGGACACCTGCGAAACACATGTCGACTGCATGCATTACTTTAAAATCTATTGCCGAGGTCAAAAATCACTTTTCATTTCTAAATCACGTAAATATAAATTACAATCTTACTTTGATCTGCGATTCCGGTCTGAAATGCGAAGCGCATGTGTGAATGTGAACAGAAAACAACTTGAACTGAGGTAGCTTATCTGAAGGAACATATTTATATAAGGGAGGTTTCACAGTCCCTTATAATGGCGATCTTTTTTGTTGTCACTTTCGTTTGTCGTATGTCTCTTGTTTGAAGTCAACCACGCGGAGAGATGACAAAAGAATGTGGCGCCTCATTGTCATCACATTTACGTGACGTTACAATGCGAACACCCCTCACGCACATTCATTGTAACGCCTCTTTATAGAAATCCAATAAATTCCCGATTATCCATATCAATAAGGGGAAGAAGACGCAATAACATTCGAAAAACACGAATAAATCATTTCAGATGAGGTCAGGAGACAATAATGGCTGCTGAAAATAAAGCTCGGAAATATACGCAGTGTCTGTTTTATTCAATTACACAGGAAACCGTATGACATAGAGAAAAGCGTACGGGATACCGAACATATTTCATCCTTCTTGGAAAAACTTTTGGTTCCGACAAATATTTAGCCCGTTACGCTCGAGATATGAGCAGGTCTTTATGTAGAGTAGTCGTTAAAATCGTTCGATCTAAATAAGAATCGAAATCGCCCAATAATTTTTCGCAAATATTTGCAGATATCAAATTTGATGAAAATCCGTCAAGCGGTTCTAGATATTTTTTCATGGGTACAGACAGACGGAAGGACGAACATGAACTTACTAGACGCTTCCAAAAACTTCGTGGATAGACCACAAACCAGATAATCCGTGCATGGATAATAAAGAGGATAATCTCCCAAACAACTGAGCTCATCATTTCATAATCTCAGTGATGAAGCCATCTACTGCAGAAACCCTTGACCTTATTCTCCTCTACTGGCCAGTCACAGAAGGAAATGACGCAAGAAAGAAGGGGGGGGGGGATCTGAGAATAGGCCTACATCAATGCCAAACAAAATGTCGGACAAATTACGTTACAGTTCGAGAACATTACTACGTAAACTATAAAAGAGCCTGTTGGAATTTCATGGGAAATTAATAAACGTAAAATTCATAAAAATACCTAACTTTAACAAGTTTGAAAGTGTTACAAATAAGGACAAATTTACAACAAGAACTTTTTTTGATTCGCTTAGTAGGGGTGGAGTCCAACTGGGTCCACGTGGCACGGCAGCCACTGATTGGCCTATTTTGGCCTGCCCCGGGTGATTATGATGATGGAGAATTTGGTGGGATAAAGATTGGCAGGGGAAACCGAAGTACTCGGAGAAAACCCACCCCAGCGCCACTTTGTCCACCACAAATACAGCTTGACCAGACCCGGGAACGAACTCGCACCGCCGCGGTGGGAAGCCAGCGACTAACCACTTGAGTTATAACAAGAAACTAAACTCGAAGGAATAACAACCTGTAGTACTAAAGGGTGAGGCTGTTGCATGAAATGTTTTCGGCAAATGTTGTCCGGATAAGAACAAACTTCGCCAGAAATACCTAATACCTCTTTTTCTTCAATTTTTTCAGTCAAAACTTGAACAAATACAAGAGTCGGAGAATATATACAAAATAAATACTGGAGGACACTTCATAATTTCCACAATTAGCCATTGTTCTGCCTCTGTTTCATTTTTCAAGTAGAAAAAAGTATAGCTATCCCTTTAACAGGCCGTGGAGGTCCATTGGGTTGTGAGACGTAGAGGCTCCCACATCTTCTTCACAATCGGCTAACAGAAGACGGTGAGGTTGTCAGCCTTACGGGCCGGCCGCCCTTTACCCCCAGGAAGATTCCTGGTACTCATTTCTGTTAGAGGCTGAGTCCAGCCTAGAACCATAGGCTGGAAGGATTAGGTCAAATNTCTTGGGGGGTACGCGGTAGCGTAGTTGGTTGAGGCACTATGCTACAAGCCGGAAGGTCGCGGAATCGAATCACGATGAGGTGTATTTTTTCAATTTACCTTATCCTTCCAGCCGCAATATGGCCCTGGAGTCGACTCAGCCTCTTAACAGAAATGAGTACCAGGAATCTTCCTGGGAGTTAAAGGGCGGCCTGCGCGTAAGGCTGACAACCTCACCGCCATGTGTGAGCGGATTGTCTAGATAATGTGGAGACCTCGACGTCTCACAACCCTATGGGCCTCCACGGCCTCTTACAGGGATAGCTTTACTTAACCTCATCGCCATCTGTGAGCCGATTGTCTATGAAATGTGAGAGCCTTGAAATCTCACAACCCTATGGGCCTCCACGGCCTCTTACAAGGATAGCTTCACTTAACCTCACCGCCATCTGTGAGCCGATTGTCTATAAAATGTGGGAGCCTTGACGTCTCACAACCCTACGGGCCTCCGCGGCTTATTAGAGGGATAGCTTTGCCTTATAAAATTATGCTTCTGTATCCAGACCTAATTTCATTAAACGTATACGAAAATGATCACAAAACAAATCCAGACAAATCTTTTTAAAATATTTCTGAATACCGTAATATTGGCTTCCCGTTCTCCAAGATATGGTATTCTAATTAACATCGCATTTTCTACACTCATAAATTATAAAAATTACGTTTTAAGAGCACGGCATGCATGAGGACATACACGAGTGAAAGCGAATATTTAAGCGACTTATTATTTAGCTAAATAAAAGCCAATCCAGAAGTCGAATTAGAAAATTCAGGCGAATTTGTATAACAGGTGTACAAAACTAATTCACGAATCTTTTGTCTCCGTAACGCTTACGTGACCGAAAACAACAGAGTAACGTCGCAAAGGTAAAGGACAAACAAAAGTCTGCGTCTGCGCCTTGGACCAGAACACAGCTTCAATTGTCACAGAGAGAAACGACATAGCTCGTTTGAGCTTTCCATCTCGACTCTACCGATCTGAATCAGCAAATTATATATCCAAAATAAAACAAAATTTCTAGCCCATATTCTGCAAGAGTCTAATTGGAGGCTCTGGGTTTAAGGGACAAGATGGCTTACTGCGTGACACAGCTTTTCATTAGACATTCTATGTGTTACGCGAGTTCCCGCAACATTTTCCTTTTCTTTGAGGTTATGTTGCTAGGCTCCACGTTGTAGAGCGGGAAATATGCGGGCGCGGCCTAATAGAGATAATATTCCGGCAAATCCCAGGAGGGACAGCGGAAAACCAGGAATACCTAAGCCAGGCGAGAAAGCGTTCTGGATAAGATTCATACTGAACACCGCCCGTTTGCGACTGAAGAGTTTTACTGTTAAAGGCAAATTTATCCCTGTGCTTAACTAGTTAAGCACTGCGCCATGAAGACGTACGGGGTAATGGATGTATAGATCGACATTTTCTTGAACTCGGCACTAGTCGGAGGTGAGTGGCCAACTTCACGCTCCGGCCGCTTTAGCCCCAGGGAAGGGTCCCCGGTACACATTGGATAGGAGATTGGGTACGCAGATCAATCGTGTTATTTACTTATTTTATTTATTTATTTATTTATTTACTGCTTAAGGAAGCTTCCTATACCTAGCGGCCTAGCTCTGGCGGTTGGAGGCCGGTTTCTCACTCCAAAGCCCCTGGTTCGATCCCCAATAAATTCATGTGAGATTTGGTACGGACGAAGTGTCACTGAAGGAGGGTTTTCTCCAACTAGCACTACCCCATACGTAACCTTCACCACCCCCTGAAATCTGTGGTAGCCCTGACCAGGCAGCACCTTATCACATCCAGGATTCACCCCCGATGCAGCGCTTGAAGGCTCAGAGGGTAGGGAAGCCAGAAGCTAGATCAATAGCTCAGATTGCGTACGCTTGGCGTCGAAATATATGCTGTCTGTCCGTCCGTCACAACGTATGCTAGTGTCTGTCGTGTTTGCGACATTATGATGAGAATATTGGCGGTATGTAGCACACATGAGAAGGTTTGGAAAGGCATACAAAGTTTGGTGGAAAATAATAAGGTGAGAGATATCTTGGAAGACCTAAGTTTAAATGTGAGACTAATATTTAAACACGATAAAGCGGCTGGGACGTGAAGCTGACTATTCATCTCCAGCTACTGCGGAAGTTAAGAATACGAGGCTTTTTACGTTCATTCCCAATACGTCTTCATAAAGTAGTGCTTAATTAGTTAAACACAGGGACAACTTTACCTTACCTTGAATTTTGTTTTTTGTCTTAGTGGGGTGGGACTAAGTCCCTTGTACTGCGGCCACTTCTGGCCTATTGTACCAGCCCCAGATGATAGGTGAGGGTGATTGTGGAGCAATTGGTGGAATGAAGATTGGCAGGGGAAACCGAAGTACTCGGAGAAAACCTGCCCCATCGCCACTTTGTCCACCACAAATCCCAAATGACCAGACCTGGGATCGAACCCGGGCCGCCGCGGTGGCAAGCTGCTTAAGCTATGGCGCGGCCCCTTTGAGTTACTTTGACTGCAGGCTATGGGTTGGATGACAGAGGATTCGAATTTCGAGTCCCGGTAGTGCAAGATGTTTCTATTATCCAGCCCATATCTTGGACTCCAGCCACCTATCCAGTGTGTAGTAGAAGCTGTTTCCCAGGGGTAAAGCGGTCACGGCGTGAAGCTGATGTCTCAGCTCCAACTAGTGCCGAGGTCAAGAAAACGTGGATCTATACATCCACTCCACCATTCACCTTCATGACGTAGTGTCTAAACGTTTATCAGTATCCTAATGAAACAGCGTGAGGATGTAGATTGGATTCATCTACCCCAGGAATGATTAAGGTAAAATAAGTCTATTTTGAAGACAGTAATAACTTAGGGGCAGGGCCCGGATTTTGATGACCTGAAAATAATTAAAAAATGACCTATAAAATTACCGAAAAATCCAGAAAAATGACCTACAGGAGAAAAGAAAGAACACTTCGCTTCCATGTTATTCACATTTCAGAAAACATATGAAGAAAAATTCCCTAAATGGCCAAAAATGACAAGAAATACCCTTAAAAGTCCAAAAATTTACCAAAAAATTACTCCAAAAATAAGAAAATGACCTTAAGCCTAAAAATGTAAAAAAAAATGACAAAAATTTACATTTCT